CAAGGACGTGACCTGAGCCTCCAGGTCACAAAAACGGCTCCTCACTTCTCTATTGGGTGCTAGTTTCTGGTGATGTCTGATGTAGCCTCAAGAGTGGGTGCCAACTATCTGTTCCCAAAAGAGTGGGGGAGCCCGGCCAGTAAGGAAGCCCTTGATCTGATAATAAATGCTAACTGGGTTTATGTTGGGGGCAGCTAAGTGCATGCGTGTTTGCCCTTCCATTCTCTACATTTCTGTATTTGTTTTGTAATTGAAACAGACAGTCAGACTTCGTGGCTGCACCAGGTGGACTGTGCGGGGCCAGTGACACGTGGCAGGCCCTGACCAACATGTGTGGTCAGCGCAGGTCTCGGGGGCGGCTTTCTTTCTGGCTCCAGATCACACTTGATTGAAGGAGCTGCCAGGGCACCAATTAGGACCAGCTGACGACTCGGAAGTCTTCCTCCATAATCCACGGTCCATCACCCAGGAGTTAAGTAGTAGATGTTTTACTATTCAATATACACGGCTGGGGACAAAGAGAGAGATCCTGGGCTTGTCAGAAAAGCTGGCGGGCTCAGAGATGCAGCTCATGAGGGAGAATTTCCGTCACCATCTCCACTCTCTAAAAGCTGTCACTGTTGTTGTGGTGGTTAGGTGCTGCTGAATCCAGTATGACCCTATACACAACAGATGTGAACCCCGTCCTATCCTGTCCCATCCTCACAATCTCTGACACCCTTGAGCCCACTGTTCCATCACTGTCGATCCACCTGCTTGAGGGTCTTCCTCCCCTTCATCATCCCTTCACCTTTCCAAGAGTGATGCCCCTCTCCTAGGAATAGCCTCTTTGTGAGATGAGGCTGTACTTTTTCCAACATGTTTTTGTTTGTTCCTTTGGTAGTCCAAGGGGTATTCAGCACTATGTAACACCAGAAGTTCAAGGGCATCGATTCTTCTGTCATCCTTATTCTCCAGCTCTCAGATGCACAGCAAGTGATGGAAAAGACCACGGTCTGAATCAGGAGCATCTTAGTCTTTAAACTGACATCATTGCTCCTTAGTATTTTGGAGAGCTCCCTAACAGCAGACTCCCAAACCCTTTCAGTTATCTCCTCTAAGAAGTTTTCTTTTTTGTTCCTTACAGAGCATGGCGTCAGGTGGCTACCCCAAATGTCAGAGGTTGGAACCCACCAGCCGCTCCTCAGGTGCTAGGTGGACAGTGTCCTCCTGAGAAGATATATGGTCTCAACAGATACAGGGTGACAATACATCACACCTGACTCTACGCCAGTGGGTGTGGTTTGGGGGAACCCTGGGGGTGCAGAGGTTAAATTTCAGTGCTGGCTGAAGGGTTGACAATTCAGAGTCACCTGCCTCTCAGTGGGAGAAAGATGGGGCCGTCTGCATCTGTGAAGACTGACAGCCTTGGGCACCCTCGGGGCAGTTCTGTTCTGTCCTACAGGGTGGGGACGAGTTGGAAGTGACACGGTAACAACGGGTAAGGTGAGTGCAGCAGAGTCAACACCCTGCGTGCTGCAAAGGGTTAAGCGATCAACTGTTGTTGTGGTTGTTGTTGTTGTTGTGTGCTGTCAAGTCAGAACCCACCCAGAGCTGACCCTCTGGAACTGTACAACTTCAAGATTACAGCGCAGTTTCTTGCCACCAGGGCTTTCTGTTGTTGTTGTTGTTGTTAGGTGCCATCAAGCTGACTATGACCCAAAGCAAAGCAATCCTGTGAACAACAGATCTGAACTCCGTCCTCTCTGGCACCATCATTATCTTGACCTTGCTCAAGCCCACCGTACCCCACCATCTCGCCGAGGGGGGCCCTTCTCTCTGACCCTCCTCCTTTCCCTCCACGGGTGCTCTTTCCAAAGGACTGGCCCCTCCTGGCAGCATGTCCAAGGCACGAGAGGTGACGTTTCACCATCCTGGCATCTGAAGCAGCAGCCTGGCCGCAAGTTCTTCATGACAGATACGTTTGTTCGTTGGGAAGCCCGCGGCATAGCTGATACTCTCTGCCGACACCACAATTCACAGGCACGGATTCTTCTCTGGCTTCCTTATTCACTGGCCGACTCGCAGATGCATAAGGAACAACTGCAGACACCGTGGTTTGGGTCAGGTGCACCTTAGTCCTTAAGATGACAGGTGCTCCGCTGGTCTGAACCCACCCAGAGGCTAGGTGATCTGCTTCCAGTGGCCTTGAGAACTGGACTGAGCAGTTTCCGCCTGCACCCATGGGGGGCTGTGAGGTGAACTGACTAGATGACAATGGTGTGGGGGCAGGACACTCGTGGCTGCTGTCCCAAGGAGAGGCCAGAAGGGAAACACATGCATGTACACCCTCTAAGGTGGACGCTGGATATCAAAGCCTTCGTAAAGCAGTGCCTCAGAGGCCTGGCTCAGCGCACTTGGGGACGAGGCGGGTGGATGATGGAAAACCTGAAGAACTAGACAGTGATGGGTAAGAGGTGAGTAAATGAGTCCCAACCAATCAGCTCTCCTAATGGGAAAAGCCTGCTCTCTCCCCTCTAAAGCCCCCAAATAGTGCTGCCGGGTCAGCTCCGACTGTGACGAGCCCGTCCACTTCAGAGAACTGGGTTCTATTCGGTTCTCAGCACCTGAGTTTTCAGCAGATTCTCAGTCTTTCTTCCAAGGTTCCTCTGGTTGGATGTGAATTTCCAGGCCTCTGCTTAGCAGCTCAGAGTGTTAACTGTTCACACCACGAGGCCTCCTCCCCTCTCCCAGCCCCGGGCGGCTGAGATGGTCACTGCCCTTGAGTCTGGCCTACTGTCCACATCTGATCCTTTTTTAAAATAAAATTTTTCTTTTATAGTGGCTTTCTTAACAAACTTTGTACACATTGCTTTTCACACTGGATCTTTCTCATTTCCTTTACTCAGCCCTCCCTCCACCTATCAAATGTGCGACCCTGTGATTAACTCTCTCCTCATCCTCACCCTTCTGCTCCCACCCTCACCCCCTTGGATCCTTAGACACGTTTTACTGGTTACCTTTCTACTTCTACAATAATAGTTTCATACAGCATTTGTCCTTATGGGACAGAGTTAGGTCACTTAGCGTAAAGCTCTCCAGTCCCTCCTAAGTTAGGTAGTGATTTTCAAAATCATTGCTCCTGCGTGTTCCGTAGTATTCCAACATGTGAATGTACCATAACTTCTCAATCCATTCAATTGTGGTTAGACATCTGGGTGTTTCCACGTTCTTGTGATGGTGAACAATGCTGCTATGAACACTAGTGTACAAATCTCCATTTGTGTCTCAGGTTCTCATTCTCTCAAGGTATATTTTCAAGTAGTGGAATAGCTGGGTCATACGGAATTTCTATGTTCAGCTTTCTGAGGAAACACCAAACTGCCTTCCAGAGTGGTTGTACCATTTTACAATCCCCCTAACAATGTAGGAAGAGTTCTATCTCTTTACATCCTGTCTAACACCTATTACTTTCTGTCTGTTAAACTTTGCCACTGTTACTGGAGTGACATAGTATTTTATTGTCTTTTGATCTTCATTTCTCTTATTGTCCACATTTTCCTTTTTCTTTCTTTTCTTTTTAAAAAAATTATTATTTTTTTGTATGTGTACCATCAAATAAAATCTGACTGGTACAGGAGGAGGCTGCCCCTCCTTCTCCAGCAGAGCATCTGGTGGATTTGAACCATATACCTCTGGGATTGCAGTGCAGCTTGTTGCCACTAGGCCACCAGGGCTCCCTACACATTTTACTCTTTCATAGCATTACTGTCCTTCAGCTGTTCATCGACTTCCCGCCCTGGGTCTCCTCCAGCGGGGAACTCATTCTGTTTCTTTTCACAGGAGGGGTTATTGTATCTTTTTTTTTTTTTATCACCATGAGGCACAAGAAGCTTGCAAACAAATGCAATGCAAAATCTCCTGGCTAAAAGATGTCCAGGGAAAAGAAACTGCAGAGAGGAAAGAGCCCCCAAGTTAGCGATGCAGGAGACGCCATAGGAAGAGTTTCCTGCTTGGCTGTGGGACGTCAGGAGAGCCGTCTAACTCCTCCCCCAACTCCTTCCCCAACTCCTCTGTGCCTCAGTGTCCTTATTTATACAAGGAGGGAGGGAAGGAGAAGACCACGTGGGAGGGACGAAGTCAGTCAGGTGCCTGGTGAAAGTCAAAACCACAGTCACAGTCACGGAGTCGATTCTGGCTCCCGGGGAACCTCCATCATGTTTCCAAGGCTGTAAATTCTAATGGGAAGAGAACGTCTGTCTTTCTCCCAAGGAGTCACAAAGTGGATTGGACCATCGGCTTTTATTAGGATTCCAACATGTAACCTAGTACCTCACCAGGGCTCCTTGAAGCACCCCCTATTATTATTATTAATAATTCTTCTTCTTCTTCTTATTATTATTATTATAAAGATCATTGTTGATCAAAGGTGTCAAGGGTTTTCAAGTAAACCCAATGGCTCTTAACCCAAAGCCCCAGTCAGCAGTCACACTGGCCATTGGTGTTGGAGCCACAAAGACCACCTTCTCTGGTCAAGAAAGCGTTTAGGTTTTTTCATCCATTAACAGCACCAACATCAGCTCACTGATTCCTATTTTTTCCTTTTTTTACATGTCACAGGACTTTATTTCTTCAGAATGCACACACATATATGTTGCATGTCTCTGGACTAAAAGGACATAACCAGGTAGAAAAACAATCTGAAGAGTGCCTTTCAGAGCTGCAAGACTACAACCTAACAGCTAGAGCCGGCTTTGTTATAATCCCGCTTTCTTTTTATTTTTAATGAATTTTAATGAACGTTTACAGAGACTTAAGGTTTCCATTCATTCACTGATCCCTATCTATAGAAAGACTCTCCTTCCCCAACCAGACAGAGGTCCGAGGAGGACAGAAGCCCGTGTCGGTCACCTCCACATTTCCGGCACTCACAACCACCAGGGTTGGGGTACGGCGTATTCAATAACAGCTGAACAGCGAGGTGTCCAGCACTTCCCATCTGTGCCAACCCTCCCGCTTACCTTTTCTAGGTGTAGATTTATCCACCGGGTGAAGGTCCGCTTCTGCACATTTTCCCTCTCCACTGAAAGACAAGGAGGCACCAGCTGAGTGGAAAAGCCAAAAATCAACCAACCAAACAACCAAACCGCCACCCTCAAGTCAATGCCACCTCTTCGCCAGACCTTACGGCACAGGGTAGAACTCCCCTTCCAGGTTTCCAAGACTGCAAACCTTTGTGGAAAAGCACAAACAACAAATGCAGGGGAGGACGTAGAGAGATTGGAACCCTCAGACACTGCTGGCGGGCATCAGGGTGGAAAGCAGTTTGGTGCTTTCTTACCAAGTTGGGACTAGAAATATAGTTTGATCTGGCAATCTCACTACTAGATATATGTATCCTAACAAAACAAGGGCTGCTCCGTAAACAGATATATGTGTACCCATATGCACTGCAGTGTTATTTACAATAGCAAATAGAAACACCTCAAATGTCCACCAGGCACAAATGGATAAAGAAACTATGATATATTCACAGGATGGAGTACTATGCAACACTTAACATGGATACTTCTTGGCTACATCACGCTGAGTCAAACAAATCAGTCACAAAAAAGTAAATAATACAGGATGTTGTTGTTTTTGTGTACCATTGAGTTGGAACCGATTCATAGCTGACCCTTCCGGTGGGTTTTCAGAGGCAATTAATCACACAGGAGGAGACTGCCCATCCTTCTCTGTGGATTCAAATAGCAAGCCTTTGGGATTACAGCACAGCTTCTTGCCACTAGGCCACCAGAGCTCCCTAATTATATTGTTGCTGTTGTTATGTGCCATCGAGTCACCTGAGACTCATAGTGACCCTATGTACAACAGCCCTAAACCCTGCCAACCTCACTGTCTCTGACACGCCTATCCCCATTACCTCAGTGACTGAGTCAATTCATCTCATCGAGGGCCTTCCTCTCCTTCAACATCCCTCCACCCTCCCAAGCATGACATCCATCCAAGGACTGGCACAACTATAAACAGCTAAGGAAAGATTTACACATAGGTAGAATCATTCTCGGATGGCTACTGGGGATGGGATCAGAGGCAGAGAGGAGTAGAAATCAGTAAACAGATAATGGTAGTTGTTATTAGGTACTGTGAAGTCAAAACCTACCCAGAGCTGACCCTCCAGAAAATTTTTAAGGCAGTAAATCATGCAGAGAAAACCGCCCATCTTTCTCCCACAAAGCAAGTGGTGGATCTGAACCACATACCTTTGGACTGGCTGTGCAACTCTACTACTAAGCTACCAGATATATATTAAGAAGTGAAGGGGAATATATATTGAGGTGAAGGGGAAGGCAGTATCTAATAAGGGGGTGATCAGCACATTGTCACCAAAGAAAGAAAAAACAGTGAGACATGGATTAATGTCAATCAGCATTACCAAGTTGTTAGGTCAAGTTGCTGTTAGGTGCCGTCAGGTCAAGGAGGACCCAGAGTGGCCTTATGAACAAATGTTCTGAACACTGTTCTATCCTGTGCCAACCTCACCATCACCAATACACTCAAGTCCATGGCCACAGTCACTGTGTCAACCCACTTGGTTGAGGAGCTTCCTCTCTTTCGCTGGCCCTCCATGGGGAACACCTCTGCAAGGAATCTCCTAGCAACGCGCCCAAAGTATGTGAGACAAAACTTCACCATCTTTTCCTCCAAGGAGCACTCTGGCTGCACCTTCTCCAAGACCTAGCTCCTTGTTCTTTAGGTCGTCCATGGGATCTTCAGGGATCTGCTCCAAGGTCACAGTTCAAAGGCATCAATTCTTCTTCTATCATCCTGAGTCACTCACTCTCCAGCTCTCAGAGGCATGGCAAGTGACTGACAAGACCACAGCATGAACCAGGCGCACCTTAATCCTCAATCTGACATCATTGCTCCTTAATAATTTGGAGAGGCTCCTGGCTACAGACTTTGCCAGTGCAATACGCCTCCTGATCTCCTGACTGATGGTCTCAACTGTATTACAGAGAAGAAGTGGGGAAGGGTGTTTAGGGTGTTAACATTGCCAGCACTGAAACGAATGTTTTGTTATTAAACAAAAAGGTGAATGCATGGTCAAATGAAGACATTATCCACTTTGTAAACTTTCACTCCAATCACAGAAAAGGAAAAGAAATCTTCACAAAGGCAGAGTGAGCGTCTTACTGTCTGTGGTGGAGCTGGTGGGCTCAAACCACACAACCACCATTTGTTTAGCATTCAAGTGCCCCAAACACAGCATTACCAGCGCTCCCCTGCACCCCGCTCACAAGGCGGCCAAACACATGTTCTTGAGTCTGCTTGCAGGGCTCTAAGTCTTAACAGGAGGAGACTCCTCCTGCAGCAGCTGTGGGCTCGAAACACCACCCTCTGCTCAGCAGCTGATCTCTTTGCTTCCCACCAGGACTCCTTAGAGCACGTGCAAAATCTAGAGTACGTCTGCTCTCCCCACAGGGAGGATTCCGCTGATCCTGGACAGAGACTAGGAATGATAGAAAGAGAATTGACGCCTTTGAGGTGAGGTGCTGGAGGAGAGTGTTGAATATACCATGGACTGCTAGGAGAAAAAAACAGGTTCACCCTGGAGAGGGTGAAACTGGGCGACTCCTTGGAGTCAAGGATTCTGAGGCTCCGTCTAACATACTTTGGACACCAGTCCTTGGAGAGGGACACCATGTTTGGAAGGGTGGAGGGGCAGTGCAGGAGAGGAAGACCCTCGAGATGGATCGATTCAGTGATTGGGACAATGAGAATTGGTGTGTCAGAGATGGTGAGATTGGTACAGGACAGAGCAGGGTTTAGGGCTCTTGTATAGAGGGTTGCTGTGAGACGCAAGTGACTCAACGACACATAACAAAAACAACAACAGATGGTAACACAAATTCCTTAGAACTGTGGTGCTGGCAAAGAGTACTGAATAGATAGATCACAGACCACTAAAAGAACAGACTGAGGAGCAATGATGTCAGTTTGAAGACCAAGGTGTGTCTGATTCAGGCTATGGTCTTTTCAATCACTTGCTATGCATTTGAGCACTGGGCAATGAATAAGGATGAGAGAAGAATTGATGCCTTTGAATTGTGTTGGAGAAGAGCACTGAACATCCCAGAGACTGCCAAAAGAATAAACAGACACATCTTGGGAAAAGTGCAGCCAGACTGCTCCTCGGACACACAAAGGTGATTAAGCTTCGTCTCCCATACTTTGGACATTTTGGTAGGAGAGGCCATTCCTTGAAAAAGGATCCTCTGCTTGGAAAGGGGGAGGGTCAGTGAAAAAGAGGAGGACCCCAGTGAGGTGGATTGACATGGTGACTGCTGCAGTGGGCTGTAGTGAGTCAGGAGGTGTGAGGATGGCGCAGGGTAGAACAGGGTTTGGGTCTGTCATTCACAGGGTCACTATGAGTCACTCTTGACTCGAGAGCATCTAACAACAAAGAACAACTCAGTCTATCTTGGAAGGAGAGCCAGGGAACCCCACAGAGGCAGGGATGGAGAGACTTTGTCTCACACACTTGGGGCTCGTTATCAGGAGGGGACTTGGAAAAGGACAGCATGTCGGGTAACCCACAGGGTCAGAGAAGGGAAGAAGACCCCCAAGGAGCCAGACTGACACGACGACTGTAACCATGAGCTTGAGCCCAGTGGAGACAGGCTTCAACCTGTTGCACTTGAGGTCACCATGTGTCAGAGTCGACTCGATGGCACCTGACGATAACGCAGCCACTCCACGCTCTGTTTGTTGAGGAATCACCAAACCGTGTCCTCTTGCGACAGCACCATCGCCCACTCCACCAACAACGCAGGGGGCTCCAGCCCGTCCCCACCCTGGGGTTTAACTGCTGTTTCCCCACGGCTGCTTTCTGAGTGTGTGAGTCAATGCCCACATGCGCGTGTTGGAGCGAGCAGAATGTTCTGTTCCCGATTCGTGGGTTACACACACTCCCAGGCACCGCGTTTAGGGAACGGACTGCATGCCAAGCCATCCTTGCCAATCCTGCTGGGAAAGACACTGTTCTCACGGCAAATACCCAGAAGCAGCAGAGGCACCCAGTGAGAACGCATACTAGGGGCTATCAGGGCACAGGAGTCGAGAGGAGAGGAGCGAGTGTAACTGCTGAGTACTGCGTTTGCTGAATGCTATCAGCACAATTTCGCTGCATCTGTGAGAGAGTGCAAATGCCCACAGGATAGACAGGAAGCTGTTGTCTAAACAGAACAAGGGCACACTGCAGATTTAAAACCCAGAAAGGTGTGCATCAGAGCTCTAACCTTTCTCCCTATCTATTCAATCTGTATGCCGAGCAAATCATTTGAAAAGCTGGACTCTATGAAGACAGAGGCCTAAGAATCAGATGAAGATTCATTAACAACTCATTAACAAATCATTTGAAAAGCTGGACTCTGTGAAGACAGAGGCATAAGAATCTGAGGACCACTCCACACCCATGTTTATCGCAGCTTTGTTCACAATAGCAAAGAGCTGGAAACAACCCAAGTGCCCATCAACAAACGAATAGATAGAGAAGCTGTGGTATATTTATACAATGGAATACTGCAGCACTGAAAAACAAGGAACTCATGAAATATTATGCAAAATGGGTGACCTAGGAGGATATTATGCTGAGTGAAAAATCTCAGTCACTAAAGGACAAATACTGTATAGTGCCACTGTTGTAAAAAGGGACATCGGGGATGAGGGAAGACAGAGGAGGAGGGGAGGAATGATGTATACTGCATTGAAACAGATATGGGAGAGTACTGTTTAAAAGTGATATATGATTAGGTATTATTGTCATGACTGGAGTCCAGAATGAAGGCTGCACAGTGGAGTGGACTTGGGGGGGGGGGGGTTGTGCTGCAAAACAATGAAAGAATTTTTCTTTTACTTTTCAATGAGGAGAGTGAATTGGGGGGGAGGGGGTGGGCAGGGAGAAAAGTGCAACAGTGAATGACTGGAAACCCTAAGTCTCTGTAAACTTTCATTAAAATTAATGAAGAAAAAAAAATCAGGGGAAGACTCCTTAACAACCATGCAGATGACACAACCTCG